GCCTCCGGCTTCTATTCACCGAAATCGTCGTCTGTTGGGGGAGCAATCATTGCAATTCTCTTTCTCACACACAATACCACTCGAAATTGCTGTGAGCTCAACATTCGCGCGCCCATTTTCGTTGATATGCCCAAATACTGTCGAGACCTACTCTATTTGCATTTGAGTAGTTGCGTTGATGCTGATGGAAAAATTCCATTTCCCCGCCTCGACAACCCAACCACAAAATGCAATATCAGACGGGCCCGATCATTCGTTGGAGTTGGAGTTGGCGTCTGCTCGGCGAGCCGCATTCGAGTCCGGCACCGGCTGCGTCAACGCAACTGTCAGGCCCATTGCTCTCACCGTCCCTCTTCAACTTTGCCAACCTGGCCGGACTCACAACAGTGGTATCCGGCTCTTCCCGACCCCTCTTCGGGTGGGGTTGTCGAAGAAAGAGAATATTTGTTGCTATAGCAACGGAACAGGCCCGTTAGAGTCCGTTTCTAGATTGGTCTCCGGGGCGAGCATTCAACTCTTCTGCCAAATCTACCGGCGGCCTAGACACAGCGCGAGCTCTTAATCGCCACTTGCCGATGGCCTCGCGACCCAATTCACACAAACACTCGACAGCAACGAACCCTGTTCCGGGGAGACGACACAGCACCGGCCGGCCGACGAGCTGGTTCGCATCAGCCGCGACGTCGCGCAAGTGTTACGACAGAAAACCAGTTGCCACGGCAACCAAGTGGTAGGCGGGGCTAGACGCATCCGAACACATCGCCACATGCAGTCAGTGATAGCGGATAGTACGAAGCATGTTAATGCTGCCACATTATAGGAGTATGATATAATAATAATAAAATTACATTATATTATTATAATGTTATGCTATTGAAGTATTGTAATATCATAATGTAGCGCAGTTGCGGGAATGTAATATTATAATCTTACAATGTGGTAGTATTATTACATTTTATATTATCTAGTATCACGTGTCCACACGATGTAACATAACATAATAATAATAATAATAATAATAAAAAAATTAAATTATATTATTATAATGTTATGCTATTGAAGTATTGTAATATCATAATGTAGCGCAGTTGCGGAAATGTA